CATTGCCATTAATTAAAAAAACAAAATAGATACCATTCGAGATCAGATTGCCACTGTCCAATCAACTGCTCCTTTTATTATAGTACCTGATCCTCCATAACACTTGTTACTTTCCTCTTTTGACCCTGTCACCATAGAGGAGGTTACTAAGCTTCTCTCTGACACCCACCTCACCACTTGCCCCCTGGACCCTGTTCCCTCAAAACTACTTCGGTCACCCTCTTGCTCTATCCTAGACTCTCTTACCCACATTTTCAATCTTTCCCTCTCTACTGGAATCTTTCCTACCCCACTCAAACATGCACTAGTCACCCCAATACCCAAAAAACCTTCACTGGACCCTACCAACCACAATAATTTCAGACCTATCTCCTTACTCCCATTCACCTCTAAACTTCTAGAACGCCTCATATACAACCGCCTGAGTTGCCACCTCGCTAATAACAACCTTTTGGACCCCTTTCAGTCCGGCTTTCGCCCCAAACACTCCACTGAAACCGCCCTCCTAAAACTCACCAATGACCTAATAACCGCTAAAAACAACGGCCACTATTCCTTACTCTTGCTATTAGACCTCTCTGCTGCTTTTGACACTGTTGACCACCCGCTGCTCCTCAAAAAACTCCCCTCGCTTGGCCTACAAGACTCTGCTCTCTCATGGTTCTCCTCCTACTTATCTATGCACTCCTTCAGTGTCACCTACAATTCTAACTCCTCCCCTCCTCTTCCTCTTTCTGTAGGGGTTCCCCAAGGCTCTGTCCTTGGACCCCTCCTCTTCTCCATCTAAACCTCCTCCCTTGGACAACTAATAACCACACATGGCTTCCAATACCATCTCTATGTGGATGACACTCAAATTTATCTTTCCACTCCACAACTCTCCCCCTCAGTGTCCTTGCGTGTCACTAATCTACTAAATGACATATCAGTCTGGATGTCACAACATTTCTTAAAACTCAACCTTTCAAAAACTGAGCTCATGATATTTCCTCCACCCCGTGCACCTTCCCCCAACATTTCAGTTGTGATTGATAACACAACTATCCAAACCTCCCCTCATGCCAAGGTCCTAGGTGTCATCCTTGACTCGGACCTCACCTTTCTTCCCCACATCCAATCGCTATCCAAATCCTGCCGCCTTCACCTTCGTAACATCTCAAAAATACGCCCCTTCCTCACCAATGACACCGCAAAACTACTCATACACTCCCTTGTTATCTCTCGTCTTGACTATTGTAACTCCCTCCTCATTGGCCTTCCACTACACTGGATATCCCCCCTTCAGTCTATCATGAATGCAACTGCAAGACTCATTCACCTTACCAACCGCTCAGTGTCTGCATCCCCCCTCTGCCAATCCCTCCACCGCCTTCCACTCGCCCAGAGGATAAAATTCAAAATATTAACAGTCACCTATAAAGCCATCCACAACTCCGCCCCCGGATATATCTCAGACCTTGTCTCAAAGTATCACCCTA